TCTAGATTAGGATCTTTAATTTCTAATGGATGTTTGGGTCCTGTTAAAACAACCCACGTTGATTGTGTTTCATGTCCTCTCTAAAAACATCATGCTTTGCCTTTTAATATAAGTGATTCATTTTCTTCTGCACCATTTGATCTTATTCATTCTGATATTTGGGGACCTTCGCCTCATAATACCATGGGTGGTTCACGTTATTTTGTGATCTTTATTGATGATTTCTCTCGATATACATGGATTTATCTCATGCGTAATAAATTTGAATTACCTGCAATTTATATTCAATTTGCCACCATGATCAAAACTCAGTTTTCTTCTATCATCAAATTTTTTCGCACTGATAATGCCATGGAATATAGAGATTCTATCCTAATCCAATTTCTTTCACAAAATGGAACTATCATTCATAGATCTTGTCCCGGTACCTCTCAACAAAATGGGCGTGCAGAACGAAAACATAGGCATATTCTTGATACTGTTCGAGCTCTCTTAATCTCTTCCTCTTGTCCTGAACGATTTTGGGGGGAAGCAGCCCTCACTGCAGTTTATACCATCAACCGCATTCCTTCTCCTATTATTGGTAACATTTCTTCTTATGAACGATTGTATGGCCATTGCCCTGATTACTAGTCTCTTCGTGTCTTTGGTTGTGTTTGTTTTGTTCTATTACAACCTCATGAACATACTAAATTGGAACCAAAAGCACGTCTATGTTGTTTTCTGGGGTATGGTATTGAACATAAAGGATATCGATGTTGGGATCCTCTTTCCCAACGACTTCGCATATCTCGTCATGTTACCTTTTGGGAACACAAAACGTTCTCAAGTCTCTCCCCATTTCGAGTTACCACGACCTCTTCACATTTTTTTTCTGATCCTACTATTTCGCTTTTTCCTGATGATTTACCTGTAGGTCCGACTACTTCTTCCTCTGATAGCTCTAACAATACTGCGCAACCTGCAACCTCTCCGACTGCATATACCTTGGCTATGGATCCTCCAGCTCTACCTTCTTCTGAGCCCTTGATTGCTCCTAATGAGTTCGACTCTGACCGTTCTAATGCTCCTCTCCGTCGTTCTGGTAGAGTCACTAAACATTCCGTTCTTCTTCATGATTTTCATTGTTATTCTACCATTGTATCTTTATTTGAGCCTTGCACCTATCGCGAGGCTAGTACTGACCGTCTATGGCAGAAAGTAATGGCAGAAGAAATTCAAGCTCTTACAAGCACTCATACTTGGGATTTAGTTGACCTGCCTCCAGATAAATCCGCAATTGGTTGTAAATGGGTCTACAAAATCAAGACTCGGGCAGATGGTTCAGTTGAGCGATATAAATCTAGATTGGTAGCAAAAGGGTTCACACAGGATTATGGCATTGATTATGAGAAGACTTTTGCCCCGATTGCCCGTCTCACCTCTGTTCGCAGTCTTATTGCAATTGCTGCAGCTAAGCACTGACAGCTATTTCAGATGGATGTTAAGAATGCTTTTCTCAATGGCGATCTTTCTAAAGAGATCTATATGCAGCCCCCTCCTGGTTATGATCATCTCCCTAATCAGGTTTGCTGTCTCCATAAGGCTCTATATGGACTTTTAAGCAGACGCCTCGCGCATGGTTCTCCAAATTCAGCTCTACTGTTTGTCAATGTGGTTTTAAATCTAGCACTTATGATCATGCCTTGTTCATTCGTAAGACCTCTCAGGGTTGTGTCCTTCTCCTCCTTTATGTGGATGACATGATCATTACTGGCGATGATTTGCAGGGCATTTCCGCTCTTAAGGCTTTCCTTAGCAAACAATTTGAAATGAAAGATCTTGGTCGCCTCAATTATTTCCTAGGCATTGAGGTCTCCTCCGACCAATCGGGATATTATCTGTCTCAGGCCAAGTATGCTACTGATCTTATTTCTGGCACAGGACTCACTGATACTAAGACTGTTACCACTCTGATTGAGCCTAATGCCCATTTTACCGCCACTGACGGTACTCCTCTTAGTGACTGCACCTTATATCGGCAACTAGTTGGCAGTCTTGTATACCTTACTGTTACTCGTCCTGATATTGCGTATGCTGTTCATATTGTAAGTCAGTTCATGTCTGCCCCTCGCACTACTCATTATGCTGCTGTGCTTCATATCATCCGTTATGTCAAGGGAACTTTGTTTCATGGACTTCACTACTCTTGTTCTTCCTCTCTTTAGTTGATCGCATACTCTGATGCTGATTGGGCCGGTGATCTTACTGATAGATGCTCCACTACTGGTTATTTCTTCTTTCTTGGAGATTCTCTTATATCTTGGCGTAGTAAGAAGCAAACAGTTGTCTCTCGTTCCAGTACTGGAGCTGAATATCGAGCTCTTGCTGACACTACCTCCGAGCTGTTATGGTTACACTGGTTACTCCATGACATGGGACTTACTCATTCATCTGCCACCTCACTTTACTGTGACAATCGTAGCGCCATACAGATTGCCCACAATGATGTATTCCATGAACGCACTAAGCATATTGAGACTGATTGTCACTTTATTCGTCATCTTGTGCTCGAGTGTACTGTTCGCCTTGTTCCTGTCTCGTCCCAGGATCAGTCTGCCGATATATTTACCAAAGCTCACTCTCCTCTTCGCTTCCATGCTCTAGTTGGCAAACTCTAGATGATTGATACATTACCATCTTGAGTTTGAGGGGGGATGTTAGTATTCTATCAAAATTACTCTCTTTAATTCTAGGAGAGATAGTCCTATCCAAAATTGGCTGTACTTTTCCTCTTTGTATTCTAACTTAGGTAGCCGACCTTGGCTCTCTAGCTCCTTATAAATAAAGGTTGTAATCGGTTGAATTGCATAGGAAGAATTATTATTTTTTCATTCGTCTTCTTTGCTTGTTTCTATCACTGATCATGGTGAAATTGTTGCCAACTTAGCTGGCGTAAGGCTCTCAAAGCATTCTGAAGAAAAATTGATTATCTACTTTTGCAAATATCCAATAATAATTATAACCTACTATTATTATCTACTTTTCCTCTCAGGTGCCGTCTGTTCCAGCCAGAAGCCAAGTCACAGCCAGCTAGGAGTGCCTAGATTGTGCAACATCACTCCTTTTGTAGGTTGGACTCTTTTTTCTAGTTTAATGTTAATTTTCAATTACCGAAAATATCCAATAATTAATCCATGTAATTATTTATTTATTAATTTATTTTCTTGTACAACCCTTTCTACCAAAAATATTAAAGTCACTTTTTACCAAAAATGAATGTACCATCAACACCTATTAATTATAACCTACTATTTTATAAACCCTGATCACCTGGGGCTCAGATCTTCTACCCACTAGCTGTTCCCACATCGATACCCACAAGACATTACACCTACACATTGGGAATATCTCCCTTGTCATTCATGGGAGATGTTTCGAATACATGGTGGTGGTGCAATGTAGGTAGGGATGTGGGAACAATTTGTGGGTAGCAAATCCTGGAGTGGATCACCTACTAGTGCACTAATAGAAGGAATGACAATATTCCCAACAGCTGCACTAATAGCAGGAATGACAATATTCCCAACAGCTGCACTAATAGCAGGAATGACAATTTGGCCTGGCCCACAAACTTCTGGGTTTGGGCTAAGGTTTTATAGGCAGGGAAGCCGGGTGAGTAGGGTCCATGTTTGAGGTTTTGGTAGTATGTCAAGTGCTAGATAGGGGTGGCAATTGGGTAGGTTTGGATGGTTGGGTTTGGGTTAAACTTCAGTCCAACCCATTTGACCCATTAACCTATTAATGACCCATTTAAATAAAATTAAATGGGTTGGATTCAATCCAAACCTGCTTTTACCCAATCAAACCTACCCAACCCATTAACCTTGTAACTACTTAATTTATACACTTGAAACTGATAACCAGTTCTAAATAAGTTGGTCATGGATTAATGGTGAAGGTTCAAATCACATTACATGCATATTATTTTTACAATGAAATTAAAAGCAATAATCACTTGGAGCCATTTGAACTGCTTGGGTCCAAATCGGCTAGACCAACTTGAACCATCTAAGTAGATTCATATTCGGGCTAATTGCATCAAGAGTGACCAAATCAGATCCAAGTAAGACAACCATGCCCATTCGGATCCAAATCCGGTTGGTTTGAGCTGGGCAGGTCTAGATTAGGTCGGGCATGGGTTAGTATTCGGGCTAATTGCATCGAGACTTTTGATTGATAGAAGTTTTTTGTTATCGTACCTTTTCAGCATCATATATATTGGAGAAAAAAAAGAAAGAAAAAAACTCAATAAAAGACTAAACTCACTCACTTAAAAGAAAAAAATCATTTTTTCTTCGGATAGGAAAGATAAAATCATTTGAAGTTAGAGAATATGCGCGTAGAAGAATATATAGACACCGGAAAGACTTTGCCTCGGTAGTGGATTTACCCTATCTTGCCCAAATGTAGAGCTCTTATGGAGAGAATTCCCCAAAGCTCACTTCATCATTCTGTTCCCAGGTCTGCTAATTTGGTAGCCCATAGAAGAGTTAAATTTGGGTTGTCTGTGTCGGCGCATTGCTGTGAGCTCTTACTAACGAAATTGGCTAATCAGATTTGAAAAGAAGAAAGAAATAAACAAGAGAGAAAAAGGGAGAGACTAAATTTTTGGAGTGGTCATCTGCATGTTAAGCCAATGCAAGGAGATTTGATTTTTATAGTTCTTTATTTCATTTGAAGCAAAGTAAGAGTAGGGCCTGTTTGTTTGTTTTGAAATCTAACATCTGAAAGTGCAATAATTACATTAAGAGGTATATTGGTATTGGTGAATTTTTTTTTCGTCTGAACTCAAATGCAATGAATATTGTTATGAATTCTGAAAATGATCAAATATCCATTAAAAAGTTGTATGATTACAATTTAAGAGATAAGAAATAAAAATAAATGAATAATCATTTTTCTCTTAAAGTTAAAAGATTCTGTTAAAAGATACAAGTTAAGAGGAAATGAACCAGCCCTAAAGAATTTCTACTTCTATTCTATTTTGGCCCAACATGATACATGGTAGGTAATAATTAAAACCAACATAGCATCAAGTAATACAAATTAATGAAGTCTTTTCAAACTCTCAAGACCTGCAATTTATTCAAGAAAGCAACTGCAATCCAATCAGGATCCAAAGATGACCACCCTACCTGAATGATCTCAGCTGTTGTTCCATACCACATAACAGGTTCTATATCATCACCGGACTCTGGTCGACCCTCAGCCACCGGCACTTCCCATATGAAGGCCCTTGAATCGTCCCCGACTGAGCACAGTTGCCGCCCGACGTGCGGTGACCAAGCGATTGCGTTCACACTCCCCCTGTGCCTCCTTAGCTCCATTAATGGATAGGCCGGAAATCGAATATCCAAGATCACCACCTTATTGCTATCCATCCCGACCGTCGCAATGACCTTGGGGTCAGCCTTGTTCCACTCCAAACGTAACAATGGAGTACTCCCAGATCTGCTATTCTCGTAGATAATGGTGGAACGCTCCTTGTCTCTCATGTCGAACACCCTGACCGAGCCATCCGCAGAGACTGAAGCAAATACTCCGGGCCCTCCCCAAGATACATCGTAGACCTCCTTATCATGTGCTACCAGTTGAGCTTCAACAGCTTCTTTCTCTAGGTCCCAGATTGTGCATGTGGTGTCGTTGCTACAGGCTACCACTCGACGTGGGTCGAACTCCGGCCAGTCAAATGAGGTGACAGCCGAGTCGAACTCACTGTCCTTGTTCCCGTCGAGAAGGGTCCTAAGCTCAATCCGGTCCTCATGAATCTCCCACAGCCGTAGATAGTCACCGGATGTAGCAATTATATCAGGGTTCAGTGTATCCTCAGTGGGGAAGAACATAAGCTTCGTTGGCGAGTAAGGATGGTCGAAGACAAGGGCACTACCGTTAGAGTAATCGAATGTGTCTTGGTTGAGTTGCACCAGCTCCACCTTGTTACTGTGTTCTTCCAGGAAACTTCCGATGGCGAGGCGGTGTTTCTTGTCGCGACGGGCCGACCAACCTAGTGCGTAAATCGGCCACTGGGCGTCATAGGTGAACACACCAGGCCTCCTCTCCATTGAGTTAATTAGTTAACTCTCTGCCTTTGCCTGATGCTAGAGAGAGGACTTCAACCTATTATTGGAAATATTTTTTCATAAAATAAAGCACATAATACCGAGATATTTATAATGAAAGGCTGTAAAAGGTCGTTCAAACACGACTTGTACCGACGGAAGCCGAAGATGGCAAGAAACTCCGGCCACACATGCAAGGAAGAAAAATGCCATCATATCGCAAGAAACACATAGGCCCCGCTCCCTTTCCTTTCCAAGTTATGTATCCATAAAAAAGTCGCAATCCCAATTAATAAAATATTAAGGGGAAAGTGCATTTACTCCTTTTATTTGTCAAATAAATTATGACAGTCTAATCCGAACAGCCTGTCGGCTACCACGTGGGTCCCACATGGTAAGCTGACGTGGCATATTATGATTCCCTTCAAGGTCGGATTGATTTGGACATTGTGGCTGAACTGTGGGTTGAATTCAGATACATAAAAAATAAAAATAAATTTGGGATTTTTAGAATTGCAAACCCCCCCCTCCCTATGAACGGCATCCTACCCATAAATTTAACATCAATCCAATCCACCCACACGACTCAATTCACCCCCTAAAAATCCTACAAGTGGACTGAACTGTAAAAACCCCTGTGTAGACTTCTATTTGCAAACCTCCTAAATAAATCTTGGAATTGCAGAAGAAACCCACGTGAAACGATCACCTAACGAACAACAATGGATGGCTTCATCACCTACCAGTCTCAAGGTAGTAAGTAGTACAACAGGTGCTGGCCGATTAATATTCGTATCGATTTTTAGATGCAAATCCAAGGATCAGAGCACTGACGGAGAGTGAGTGGTACAGATTTCAGTACGGTTGGGAATAAAAGAAAATTGGCTTTTGGCCTTTTTTATATTTTGGTAAAAGAAATTGACTTTTTTAGTCTTACGTATGAAAATAAAATTTCTATAAATTACGAATATTCAGAGCAACTTCAGATCTCCCGCACTCAAAATGGTGTGGGCAGCAGCGGTGCTCTTCGAATCAGATATGAATACGTAAAACCGGACCCAATCGGAAAAACCGGGAACCGGTCCGTTTCCCCTTAAAATCGGATTTTCTCAAAAAAAAAAAAATAACGTTAATTTTGATCAATAAACCGTTGAACCGAGCGATTAATTGTTCGAATGGTTTTGATCGTTTTTTTATCAACGGGCCAACTGTTCGACCCGGTAACCGGACCCCTGACCGGTTCATCTCCGAGTCGGTTTTAAAAACCATTATATTTTTACTTCCGTTAACTAATTCAAAAAAAAAAGGAAAATAAATAGACAGAACCCAGGTCTATTCAGACTTCCTGACTTGGGGCTACAAACAAAAACATCATCAAAGCTTAACGCTATCCACCATTAACGACTTGCGGAAGACCTTTTTTTCTTCTACTTGTTTAGTTCCTTGAATCTTTAAAGCAGAACTCTTGGAAATATAAACGGGGAATCAATCCTGTAAATCTTCAAAAGGTTCAATAAGAGTCACATGTCTTCTTCTTCACCAGTCCAAAATTGACAAGAACAGAGTTGCTGCAACTGTAATCGAGGAAGCAAATGGCCAAACTCTTTGTCTATTAGCATCCTAAGAAATATGAATGAAGAAAATAATGCAAAAGAATTGGATTGTAAGATTTAAAACATGAATTTCAAACATTTCAGAATGTGCTATGCAACTCGTAGTCAGGAATTGAACGACTAAGATGTTCGGTTCTGATTTTACTTTCCCTTGGTGTTGATAATACTGTAAAGAGGTATGCAGTCCTTCGTGTTTGCTTAGACAGAAGATGATGCAACCATCGTTGTATATATGGAATCTGTTGAAGCAACACCATTTTCCATCCTACTGAATAGTAGGCCTGAACTTCACTTTTGAATTCTCAGATCTCTCTCCGGCCCTCGCCTGCCATGTCTGAGATATGAGAATACTTCAAGAGAACCTCTTGTTGTTCTATCCAACATGAAGCTACATGTATTATTTTAGCACAGATGGCAAGCTTCGCCCCTAGATGAAGGTTGAAGAAGATGGTCTTCTGTGATCGCTATAGCACCTTGGTTTGATGAAGTTTTTTTTCGGAGTCCAAAGGTGGCAAATCTCAAAAGACTTGGGTTCCCTCTCTTTTTCTCACTTTTGTCATTTTTTAATTTCACAAATAAAAATATTATAATTTAACAGATGTAGAAGTTTTGCCGCTTTCGTGGCCATGACGTGATTATTTATAATAAGAAGAGCACCGCTGTCCAGACTAAACTTCAACACTTTTTCTCAAATGTGTTCATCGTAAGTTCTGTAGTTGGATTTTAATCTCATAAGAGATTAAATTTAATGGGTTTGATTGGTCAATTATATGAGAATTTGCATCTGGACATTTGATTGAAAATTTAATTTTTCTCTTGCAAAAATCCAGTTTTAAATTTGTCCCACATTGGAAAATTATAAACTTTGTTTTCAGTATTTTAATAGGAGCTGATTTATACTCCTTAGAATTAGTAGATGAGAGTATGGGGGTATGATATTGTGCAATGCGCGCGCGGCACAATGAGGCGTTTGTGAAAGGCAACTTTGGTTTTTGGTGCGATGCTGACCGTTGATCATCGTTGATGAGTTCAACGGTCACGATTCGATCGGGTGTGATCAGGAGGCACAATTGAAAGTTAACAATCACTAACTGTTAAATACTTTTTAAACAGTCACAATGTCAGTATCTACATTTTCTTCATACGTCTTCACAAATTATTTAAGGAGCATGAATCAGACTTAAAAACACACAATTCGAAATTCACTCTCTCTTTCTCTCTCAGTCCGGTCTGCTACAGTCTCACAGAAGGTTTTTTTGGAGATTCTTCAACTTTACTGGTTGCAGATTCTCGCTCAAGGCTCTGTTGTATCCTGAGAACGAATTTGCCTGTAACCCAACAACAAACTCAGTAAAACTGAGTGGGGGCAAATAACGTTTTAAAGACAGTGTATTCAAATGTGCCTCAGAGCTTCTCCTTCAAAGTTATAGTGACCCCATTTCTCCAACATCCATCACTTTCATTTGTGATTCAATTGGATTTCGACTCCGGAACTGCTGCAGAAATGAGCTCAAATTCTGTGAACCCTCTGGTTCATAGGAAGTGTGCATCTACGAATGAAAAATGAGCACATCACCTTATTAACTTAATAGGAATTTAACGGAAACCAGCCACTAAAAAGATAAAAAACTGAAAAACCAAAGCCAACAGTACTTTCCTCCCTCATTCGAACTCCCCTCCCACTGTCTTTCAACATCGAACCACAACAGCTCAAGTTGACTGAGGATAAAATCGTCATCTTCTTCTTCTCTCCCTGTCAGCCGGCCGGAAGTGCAGGATATGTGGGTAGAAAAAGAACAATAAGATTCTAAGACAATGAAGAAGAAGGCCAAAATCAATTGGAACACTGGCTCTTGAATTGCCACCGACATATATTAGCTGATTTCATGTCTCGTAAGATCAATGTTTTCTGCTCTAGTATTAAGATTTTTAGGTAATCTTTTGATACCAACTTTTGTGTGTTGGGATAAGATCAACAGTAATCCAAACTTCATGTAAATGCGCTACAACGGGTTGCTTCTTGGATTATTCAGTCCATAATTTCAAACGTTTAAATGCTCTTAGAAAATCTACATGTACTTAGCAAGGATTGGGGAATTCTTTAAAGCTACCACAAATGAGTGAAGGTAATGACGAACAACTGATTTTTTTAATTGTCCCTAAATGGATTTTCTCTCCTAATACCTCAAGTAGCAGCAGTTCAACTTTCTTCATGCTTTCCTTTTCTCCCCCTCATATATCAGAGCTTAGCCTACTTAATGATCTTAATTTTGAAGGTTAGGCTTACTTTACTCCAATAGCAACCGGTAGCAGTTGATTCCTTGCCGTCAGATCAACCCGAGTGGGTTGGACTTCTGGGACATGATCTTTAGATTTCAGAGGATTGTTGTCAACAAAAATGAGAAGAAGAAGAAGAAGGTGGAGGAGAAAGAGAAGAAAGAACAATTTACCATCAGTCTCTAGTCGTCAGTTGATGCCTTACATTGAACGTCGGTTGTTGTGGTGGCCGATGCTCAAATTATAGTATCTTGACTTGAGAGACGGTGGGAGGGGAGTTCGAATGAGAGAGGGAAGAATTCGGATTAGCCACTAATGCACGGTGCCAACAACCTTTCAACCGACCATTGCATCCTTACATTGGGAACATCTCCCCATGAATGAGAAGGGAAATATTCTCAATGTAAGGCTGCAGTGGTCTGTTGGGACAGGGATGGTAGCCCTGTTGGTAGGGATTTTTTATCAATAAAATGCTCCCAATATGTCCCAACAAACCATTCCAACCATACATTAGAAATTATTCATGGGGAGATGTTCCTAATGGTCGGTTGGGAAATGTTGGGAGCGTTTCATTGGGACACGCTAGTACATATCGTCATAGTACATATCCATTGACACATTTACTCCAGATTTGTTAAACCCAAGGTTTTAAAAACCGGACTGGACATGAAACTGATTTGCAAACCGGTTCTCGAGTCGAACAATCCAACATCCAGTTCGAACAACAGTTTTAAATTAAGAAAATAATTAAAATAAAAAAATGGCCAAAAACCATTATCTAGGTTGATAGGTTCATGGTTCAACCACCCAGGTTAGTGGGTCACTAAGCAATCGATCTTAGAGTGAAACGGAACCAGTTACCTAGATGGTTCTTGGGTCAACCGGTCCAACCATCCACTCCAGTTTTCAAAACCATGGTTCAACCCATGTAAACATTTTTAGTAGATCTAGACTCATTTATGGAACCCATTAGGCAATGTTTGGTTTGAAGGAAAACGTAGGGAAAAGAAGGGAAAGGTATCAAAACCTATACAAGGTTTGTAAAAATTTCCTAGATTGAGCTTACCATTTTGTCTAGGTGAACGGTTAATTACCCTAGATTGAGCTTAGTTTCTCTCCTTTCACGAAGTTCTTCACAGTGTCCTTCGTTTATTCACGGGAGAAGTGAAAGTGAACGAACTTGAGTCATGGAAAATAACCCATTTCTAACATTTAGACAAACAAAGATAAAATTATAAGAGATTGTTTGGAGATTTACCTCTCGTTGTTTTTAATTCCCATAGGTTGAAAAACTGAACTTGGGATGGGACTTCAATATTGAGTGATGGGACCATCCTTGTGTCATAATATATTGTAGTTAATTATAATTTCATTAAAAATCCTATACTTAACTATAATTTATAAATTATAATTCTTAAGTTTTAATGTTTAATGTGATGGGAAAAAAACCAACTCTCTTATCCAACCATAAAATATGCATTAACACAACTTCTAAGTGAAAATATACTTGATAATTATTATTTATTATTTATTTTCAAAAATATAAAAAATAAATAAACATTACATAATATATTCAAAAAATATTTATTAAAGAAGAAATTTCAAGTGCCTTGTGGAATATATAATAGATGATCATCTACAAATGATACAAAAAAAATGTGATTTTGGATGTAAGAAATGTAGATTAACATAAATTTATACATTTCAAAAAAAAATCAGAAGATATTATAAAAAAAAAATTACCTATTTTTTTTCATATTTTTTCAAAATTTGAAAAATCTTAAAAAAAATAACGATTCACACTTATTTCTTGCAAAATTTTGCAAATCTAACATTATAGAAATAAGGTTTGGAGTTTTAGAATCATTTGGGGGTGGAAGAATCTTACTTTTCCCCCCGCATCTTTTTTGTTGATACGCTACCAATACACCCCAATACACCTCCAATATGCTTTCATACGGGTCCGATACGCATGAAAAAAGATGATACACAATTTTCATGCATATCCCGTATTTGTTTTTAAAAAATACGATACGATACACCCCGTATCGAACATATTATATCAAAATTTTAAACCTTGGTTCTATCATTGATTACCTCGATCTACCTTGTACACAGCAGGTATTGCACCTAGAAGACCCTATATGTAAATTGTTGACAAAGCAACAGTCTGAAAATGGTAATTACTTGCATACTAACAAAGAGTCAATCATGGAGGCTGGAAATAGGTCTCGTTAGACCATTTCTGAATTCATGCATCCCTGACTCTATAAATAAGAGAGAAAATAGGCAAATAGAAATATCATATTCCTTGAGACAATTGCAACACCAAGCTTTGCGAGGCCTGAACTCTAGAATTCTCAGTAGTTGCACCAGAAGAGAGTTGGCTCACTCACAAAAGAATTGGCTTCCACCACTTGGCTAAACACTGCAAAGAATTGGCTTCCACCACTTGGCTAAACACTGCAAAGAATTGGCTTCTTACTGCATGGCACCACATCTTGTGCATTTTACCAGCAAATATAAGCATCTTAGACATAATATTACAAACTTTCAGCCAGCATGGCAAAAAAAAAAAGACATCAGCCAACATGATCCTGATCTCATATCCGAAGCTTCTTCCCAGGTTGCACATCATCGTACTGCCCACCATCATCATGGATCTCACCCTTCTCCATCTTCTTCCTTGCAAGGATCTTGTTAATCTTGTGCAGCTCATTGGTGAGCTTTTGGTCCTTGTTTTGCTTCCGTGTCTTCCTACCATCTTGCATCTTCACACCAAACTGAAATGCAGCTTTAGGCATTGCTTCCTTCTGCTCATTATATGTTGCCCATTCCTCCTCTGTCTCAAAATCCCACCGATGGAGACGACCCTTGGCCTGTTCCAATGTTTCACTCATAAGAAATTCTGGACATTAAGTTCAGTAAAGTTTTCAGGCATTCCCCTAATTATAAGCATCAAACATATCCCCACTGAAGAAAGAGGAGATTTCAAAATTATTTCAAGGATGTAGAAAAAAAACAAAGTGTTAAGTTCCAATAGCAGAATTGAACTAATTATTAAATTAGATATGCAACTGTACCAAATTTCCTTTAATGCACATAATATATCTTGAAAAAGTCCATGAAATTCAAAGCAGAATGAAAATGGACAAACTATTTGGACAAAAGCATCAAGCATGCTCTTTAATCTTCCAAGTAACAATATTATGCTAGAAGAGTATGTCTTTACCCGGCTACCCATATCCATTTTTGACAAGTCATCTTCATCATCACTGTCAACGATTTCACGATTGTACTCTTGATACCCAGGATAGCATTCAGAGTAACTCTCAGATATGAAATTTGGATCTTTCTCCCGAGCATCCTTCTCTCTTAATTGCTGAAGCCTTTGATCATCCCTCTTGAAAACTGACCCTAGGCCACGATCCTTCTCTTCTTGAGTCATGAAGCGTGGATCTTGTGGAATATTCAACCCGGCCTGAGCATCATAGGTTGGCAAGTTTTGCTGAAGATATTGTTCAGAATAAGCTAATTGTTCAGTGTACTGATAGTCCTGCCACTCTGTTGGGTATCCACCTGCAATTACTTGTGCTTGAACAGCATCATATCCATTCTGCAAAACAAGCATGTTATAATGAATAAAATCAAATATTTCACTCAAAGTCGGTGTTTTAAAAGTGCAAGGCACAAAAAAAAACTCAAGGGCCAATTTGTCCCTGAGGCGCAAGGCGCAAGGCGAGGCGTACACCTTTTTAAGAAAGGCACAAAACTACAAAAAAAAGGCTAAAAAATATTAAACATTATGTTAATAAAAAAATATAAACATAAATTTTAAAATAAATGTTTTAAAAAACCAATTATCTAAAATTAAAATACATAAAAATAACATGTAAAGTGTATTCAAATGGAAATTTAAAAATAAAAGCAAACATACATTTTCAAGCATGTAAAACCCACAATCTCTTTTTTTCCTTAATTGCATTGCTTCAAGTAGCTAATGTGATGCAAACATATTGCATTCTTGATTCTATGAGTCGCCTTTGTACCATGCCCCTCGAGGCAAGCCCGAACAAGTCTATATTAGGGTTTGAAATTCTTATTTCTCACATGAAAAATAATGATTTTATAACTTTAATTGCCTTTTATTGCAATGTGGAGATATACTTTGGTGAAAGAACAATGACCTAAACCCAACCTTCCCACAAGGGTCAGGAAATTTAATCTTCAAAAATACCCCCTCCCCGGTTCCCCCAAAAGAAACACCATGAAACAAGCCTCCACTTCCTATTTGATCAAATCTGTTTATCCTTGGTTTCCAAGAATTTGGAACAAAAAAATTTTTAAGTCCTTGACAACAATGACTATTAAATAAACAGCATAATGAACTCACTGTTTGTTGCCAATCCTGCGTAGGTTCTGAGGGTGGGACTGGGCCATAAGCAGGTTCACTGAAATATGATGTCCTTTCCCTATTCTTAGGAGACTCTTCCATATCTTCTGAAATAGGACTCTGGCTCATGTCTTTACTAGGAACAGCATAGTCAATGCCATCCCCCACAAATACGTCATCATCTTCAGCTCTGGCAACAACAGGAATTTGTTTCTCTCTTGAATCAGGATGGATTTTGCGTGAAGGCAGTGCTGGTATGCTTTCTCTTTCATCTTGGTTCTTTGGCTTTCCACCATCATGCTGCAGCTTCTCATCTTCATCATATTCATTGCCAGCAGCAGAAATCTTTCCTGGAACAGAAAAAATATATATTACATAGGAAAAGAAAACAGCCAAAGTAGCATTTGATGTTCGGATAATCATTAATAGAGGTAGAAATATGTCAGTGGAAGCCCCACCAGACCACCATGGAAGGTGGTGTCTTGGTACTATACACACTGAACAACATCGGAATAGGACATGAAGCCAGAAATTCATGGATCAAACCAAAGCACTTTTCATGAATGATCCCTCCCCCATTTTAATCAATTGGAAAACATATCAATTATTTCATTTGGTGCAGATTTCAGGCATTGATCTGTTTCACTAATAAGCATAAACTTCAAGCCATTTGGAAGGGGCATCTCCCCGGACCAACAGTTAAGAGGGACATCATGTCCAACATGGCTTGGCAGGGCCCCAATATCAACTTTTCTTTTATGACAAAGTAAAATATACTTTTCTTGTAGATAACAAATGGGAGAATGGCAAAAATGTTGTGAAGAATTCCCATTTCAAAATTGGAAGTGTTTTCTCTGTTTGAGGGATGATAAGGTTATTGATATTCATGCATTCAATTACAAAGAAACCCCAGGAAAGCACATAAAGACTTCTATAATACCAAATACTATTTCCAAATTTGAAAGAATATTTTTTATCAGTAAGTTTGAAAGTATAACTCATACCTTTCATCTCTCTCTCCTTTTTCTTTTTCTTCAGAACCTTTCCAGATGATCCAAGCCGAAGATATGACATGATTTTAGCAATTCGATCTAGCACAGAACCATCAACACTGACAGTAACCATCTCCTATGGATGAGATTTGAACAATCAAATGAGTCAGCCTGACAGTAAAAGGATTTTTTATAGATATAGCAAAAGGAGAATTTGCACTACAATAGAATTGCAAAAACTTAGACCTCTGGAACTGGGCAATCTGCTTTACTTCTATGAAGTGTGGTTGGAATATCATGAGAATATCCATCCTCCTACAATGCACAGAGAAAATTTAATGTCAGAGAATTTCCATTAATAATCCAAACAAAAAGGTTTTCAATAAATATATTGATCCTATTTGCCAACATTTAATGGTTAAACCATGCATCCATACACTACTCTTGTATCTAATTCTATACATTTATAATCTAACTCCAATTTACTGCTCTCTAATAGACTTAATTACACAATGTATTAAGGACTCAATCTCATAAATTGTACTCTATAGTCTATACTTGTATTAACATTAATTGGAATTCTTTCTACCTAATTATATAACCAACTATTTGACTAAGGAAGATTTGGTGATAGCTAATGGACTTTTCATTTAATGTACACATAAAGGTGCTTTAAAAAGGAGTTCATTTTCCATTCCTCCAATAAAAGGATCGACCGACCCCACCATTATGGTGGGTTCTTCATCTTCCCATTAGCGGATGTTACATGTTAAGGAGCCCATTTTCCATTCCTCCAATAAAAGGATCAACTCCCCTATTAAGGTGGGTTCCTCATCTCTTACATGGGGGTTATTCTTATTGCAATAGAAATTCCTACACCTTCCAGAATTAAAATTCTTGTCAGATGTGGAATTAAAATTGAGTGAAGCTTATGATTTAAACCATACTAGTTAAGTTGGACGGGGAAGAAAAGAAGGAAATAAAACTTTGTGATAGTCATTTTGACATGAAGCCAAGGCAAGTATTGAGATTATATAGTAAAGATTGGAACAATGCAGATTTATTATAAATTTAATTTAACCATATTATATATCAGCATGTATTCACTAAGACTCTTAAGGTAAATACATTAAGAATCTCTAATCAAAACATAAGTCTAGCAAATCAACAGTAAACCAATTCATAATATGTGTAAAAACAGGTTAATGGCACTTTATTTAGCTTCTGATATCTCAGAATATACCCTTTTGAGGTTGATCTTGAAATCTTGATTACCAGTTAACAAAAAGCAAATAACAACTAAATGAACTCAAGAAAATAATAGAATAACCTTACCATGTTGAAGATAAATGCCATTCTACCAGGAAGAAACATCTCATTTGATTTGATAATAGTTTGAGGCTTGACAATCCACTGGTAAATTGACTGCCACCAGAGAAAAATAGTTTAGGAAAGTCATGTACTGAGTTTTGACTCACACTCTCCAAGCAACAAATCACAAAATAAAGCAACCACACTGTACAATTCTTAAGACAGCAATTCACACCTTTGCAGTCGCTGTGCGAAATGACAGTGGTTGGTCCTCTTTAGACATTCTGTTGATCAACAAACAAATTTATGTCACTAAACACAAATAGCAAATAATAAAGCTAAACAAATAAATAACAATGAGAGGGCAAACAACCAAGCAGACAGTAGACAGTGCAATCATTTGTTCACTACAACTGAAAATATGATCAGGTGCAGACCAGGAATATACATCTTGATAATGCATCATATGCTTTTTTATCAAAAGGCAGTAATTTCTTGTTAACAAGATAAAAAAAAAATGTCAAAAGAAAGTACAGGAGAATGGAAATATCATAATAGACCAGTATCAAGTTCCTTTTTTACCTATGTGTTTTTTTATTTATAAAGGGTGCAAAATAGAACAAAGACCAGAATGCCTCCCTTTATATAAATGTGTGTGTGTGTATATCTTTTAGTATTTCAATACTCAGAATCTCAGATGGTTGAAGCTTCAACATGCAACAGTAAGAAAGACAATGATTATCAAAAAAAAAACACAGTAAGAAAGACAATGTGAAAGACCAAGAGACCGACACCTTAGACATAGTTATCAGCAGTACCAAGGGCAAAGTTAGGCAATAAGGGAGAATCTACCAGCCTAGGCGATGGATTATTAAAAAACGGGATCCCATGTTAATTCCCTAGTTTGTATGGTAATAATAAATCATATTCCATTAGTAATTAGCACAAATATTCATTAAGTACAAATTTCATACCAAAATATGGAAAATAACATATTCACAGGAAGAAGTACAACCTTCATCAAGACGATTATTCCAGAAAAAAAAAGAAAGAAGAAACTCAGAAAATAAGGGGCAGGGTAGGGCCCCTAAGGCACAGAAAAAGAACTCAAAAAAAAAAAAAAAGGAATATAAAGGGGTCCACCCAAAGTTGGGTACCTCACTTGCACCATTATCATTTTTGGCTTACCATTAAATTTCTATGGGCCTCACAGGATTCTTTCCACAGAGGTGGATTGGGGAAAGCCTAAAGGGGGCTAATGCCCCTTCAAAGGTCTCTTTCTTTATGTGGACATGCTCAACAAAACTTGGATTTGATAGACCATCTTACTTCAAGGGGTTGGGATTTGGAGAATAGATGCTCATTATGTGGTAGAATGGAGGAAAGATACCACATTTATCATATTATTACCCACTCGGAAAAGTGTTCTGGATCCATTTGTTGCAATAATTCCAACGGACCTTGCATCCTTGATTTCTTCTTGAAGGGTTAAAGACATTATCCTTAGAGGAGCATAACATTGAATTTGGCCTGTTTCTTGATCTTCTAGAGCATATGAAAGGAATGGAACCAGAACATCATTGATAGGAAGAGCAGCTCAGTAATTGCCATGATGATGGAAACTGTTACGTTACTGGTAGGACGTAACTGCAATTCGTCTACATTACGTGCCTACCAAATGAGCCATTAATGGGGTCCACAAGGTTGGCCAGGGTAGCTAGGAGGTTTTCTTGTAAATAGTCATAACAGATATTAGTGGTTGAAAGGCTTACAGTAATAGTGGGTCAATGTTGTCAGTTACATCTCAGTAGGGAGTGGTTGCATTAAATTGGGATAAGTGGGTCAAGTTGTTTCTAGTTGTTCTTAGTGGGCCAAATATATAGGAGTCACATGTAACAGTAGGTCAAGAGTCTATTTAAGTTGTAACTATCTTAATCAAAAAACGTTATGAAAACTACCCTTTACTAATTGAGATTTTATCTCTTGGAGGTCTTCATCTCCCTTGAAGTAGACAAATTGCAGTTTCACCCAACCAAGAATGTAACAGGAACCTAAACAACAGTTGGTGTTCTGAGACCAATCCTAAAATATACTTTTTATAGTAATCCTAAAAGATTTCTAGAGTCTGAACTCTGAAGTAATGATTGCTTCAATTCATCAAAAAAAAGTAATGATTGCTTCAGAAGGCAGTGGGAATAAATAAGGTTAATTCTTCTTTTGATGTGCATGATGTAAGCCCCATGGATATGGTGAAGTTGGTCAATCTCCAAAAGTTTGAAGAAATGGCTGGAGGGAGAAATGAAATGGACCCAACCCTGAAACAATGTAAAATGCTTACTCAGGCCAAACCCAAGTTGCACCCCTACCTAGAGGGGCTACACTATGTGCCCTTCAGAAAGAGATCAGACCATCATAGTTCTTTGGCAATGGAATTCAGGAGGAAGATGAAAGTTGGTCCAGGAGGAGAGAGAAAATTAGCAGAGAAAGGGAAATTTGATGGAATTTGTTTTTTTTTTTGATCAATATAATTTGATGGAATTTAGAGGGAACCATGAAGGAAAGAGGGAAAGGGGGAGAGAGAGAGAGAGAGAGATTCAGGTTCTCTGCTTTTGGAACCTAGATCCTTTATATATATTTTTCATTTACTTAAAGAGACTTTTCTAGAATCGTCTTGCCAGCTCAACATGGGTGGCATGTTGTTTGCCATTGCACACACTTGTGGCTCAAAGCTTGTCCTGATTTATTATTTCATGATCTGGGATGGACGGAACCAGTCAGTTTTGGGTTTAAGTCAAGTTACCTGGGTTTATTGTCTTTTATATGTCTATGCCCTTATGCATGTTTTTTTTTTTTTGGATAATTCTATGCCCTTACACATGTTATACATGGTTCTATCTCATTAACCATGTAAATTCCCTGTATATGGACCCTTGGCCCTTTTTATTTTGTACTTAAATACAATCAGTGCTTTTGCTGATCAAAAAAAAAAATCCGTGTTTTTTTATCAGTAGAAGAGATATTTTATTATATTTGCTAATAGATGAGATTAGAACTAGATGACAGGACTATTGAATTCAGAATTTATATTCTTTTTTAATGTAAATAAATTCTGATTTATATTGACTATTGAATTCAGAATTTACTTCCTTTTCTACTCTCTTCATTTAAAATTCTGCCATTCCTCTCTTCCCACACCACCCAAATAACTGCTGCCTTTGTAATTATCCAAAGTATCCTCCCTCTTTTCTTTGGTTGCTTTAAGAAGTTAGGATCAAGGTTCAAAATTTCATGTACCGGCCGATACAGGCCAATATGTATTGTATCAGTGGGTCATTGATACACCAAATATATAATCTTTGGTGTTTTGACCTATTTCAGGGGGTAAAAAAGCCTTAAACAGAACCCTCTGAACAGATTTTGAAAAAAAAATAAACAGAAAAAATAAAAAAGGGGGTGTGTGGGTCAAAACACCCGATATGCCCCATCTGGCGTATCAGTGTGTATCGATACTTGAAACCTTGGTTAGGATTGAAAATGCCCACCACATCTTGAGGGGGATCCTACCAAAGAGAACAGAAAAACTCCCAGGTGTGATGCACAAAGGAACAAGAGATTATAAATAGGATAGGGTCTCACCACTAGCCTGATATAAAAAGCACATGTGAGGAGAAAGGCAAGAATTAGGCCCTTTTCTCTCCAGCACATTGCATGTATAAATCTTTCCATGGAAAATTTCTCAGTAGAAATGGATTTTGTTACCCCTTCCCACATCAAAGCAGATGGAGTTAAGAAAAAAGGTTATACCTCATGAATTGCTTTAAAAGGAGAAGCTAAGGTTGAATTGGGTGTAAGCTTAGCACCCTAGTTGTTACCTTCCATCCCATGAATGCTTTCAATTACCTTGTGCCATAGTCTGCCTCTTACAAAGGGAAATCTCCACAACTATTTACCTAGTAATGCAGTGTTTCTAAGGACAATGTTCCCTATCCCTAGGCTCCCTTTCTCCTTTGGTTTACTAGCCCATTCCCATTTCACCAGATGATCCTTTTTTCTTATTGATAACATCCAAATTTTATTAATGAAGCATTATATGATTGTATAAAGCAAAGGAATAATAGTGTAAAAGGTGAAAAGACAGTGGGAGACAAAAACTCTTATATCTCCCCACACCTAAATCCCTGATTTACAATTGCGCCCAAAACAATGTTTCTCTTCTCACCCCTTGTTTGGCTAAAGCATGAGCTACAGAATTAGCACAACACTTTATCCAGTTGAAAGAGATTTCCATTTCTCTTGTCAACCAACTGAATTTCTTCGTTTCATTGTTGTAGGTTCACATCCTCATCTCTTCACTCTAACCAGCTCACTACCAATTTCGAATCTCCCTCAATAATCAGTTTTCTAATGTTCAATTCTTTCATACTCTAATAGCCTCCCTCCCCAGCAGGTCCAAAATAAAGGGCAATTATCTTGCCTTCCTCATCTCTAAATACTCCACTACATAGTTGTCAAGGCAACGCCTAGGTGGGCTCCTAGGCGTCACTTAGGCGACTAGGCGCTTTTCAAAGAACGCCTCGCCCAAACGCCAACTATGTTAGGCGCATGCTTAGGGGGCTGAAGCAAATATATACTATATAAATATTTATTAAATAAAAATATATAATATTTAATTGGTTGTTTTAGTTTGTATAGTAGGACCTATTGCATGTTATCATGCTTTTGTTTTGAGGAAAGTAAAAACAAAATTAATCTTCGAGGGTTTCACTTTGACAATAGAATCGAACTGAGGAAGGGAGAGAACAACCTCCATCGTTCCCACACAGTCCTCTAAAGTCAAGGTGAGTTAATCAGTGGTTACGCCCCATTTTTCTCCTCTTCCTTTCTGTATCTTTTCTCCAAGTTTTTTGAATCATTTTATTGGACTAAAACAGGGGCTCCATCCCCTTCTTTTGTTATTAAATTTCCTGCATGTTTTCAGCTTTTTTTTCTCATTATTGGTGTCTGAAACAGGGGCGGAACAGGGACTCCACCCCTTCTTTTATTTTAGTATTTTTTTCACCAGATTTTCTGGGTCTAGAACAGGGGCTCCACCCCCTCCTTTTGTTCTTAATTTCTTGCATCACAAGCTAGATCCTTACGTCACAGCCCAACAGTTGAGCAAACCTAAGGATTTCCCCCTTCTTCCAAATTGATTCCTACAACTCCAGTTTTACTCCAATTGACCCTCAATCTAGAAATACACTCAAAATTGTCAATCAAAACCTTCAAATTTCTCATCATCTAGATCAACACCCTCACAAAACAGGATTGTATAATCAGCAAATTGAAGATGAGAGACAGCAATTTGATTTCTACCATCCTCCACCCCCTAATTAGGCCCTACACATCCACTTTAATTATCATTCTGCTTAAGACCTCTACAATTAAGGTAAACAAGCAGTACAAGGGGTCTCCCTACCTAATCATTCTCTTGGCATGGAAAAAGGAGATAAGAATTGAATAGTGCACCGAGCTAAAACAACCTTCAATCCACAGCCTCCACCTTGCTCCAAACCCAAGGCTCTCTAAAATCTCCAACAAAAACTTCCAATCCACTAAACCATAGGCCTTTACTAAATCCACTATACACACCAAACCCTTCTCTCCGCCCTTTCTTTTCTCTACAACACACTCATTAACCACTAGGATTTGGACCACAATCTGCTTTCCTTCAACAAAAGCAACTTGGAAGGGTGAGATCACTGAGGGTAAAACCTGCTTCAACCTTTCAAACAGAACCTTTGATATAATCTTATAAAGATTCCCAATCAAGCTTATTGGTCTAAAGTCCTTTAGCAATTTTGCCTCTTTTTGGCACGAATAAGATAAAAGTGGCATTTGCCCAAGGAAAGATCTCTCCTTTATGGAAAAACTCTTCAAATACTTCCAAGAAGTCTAATTTCAGAAAGTCTCAAAACTCTTGGTAAAAGCCATAGGGAAACCATCCAACCCTAGGGCTCTGGACCTCTTCATTGAGAAAATTGCTTCCTTAATTTCTTCCACAGAAAAATTCCTTTCCAACCCTAGGATTATTCCTTTGAAATTCTATCCCAGTCCAAATCTAAAAAATCTGATCTATTCTACCTAGGCATGAAAAAAGAGTCTTAAAGTGATTCACAAAAACCCTAGTAATCTCTTCATCCTCTCTTATCTCTTTACCCTCCACTTCTACTCTATAGATGGTGTCTTTCGTTCTTTCTCCATTTGCAAGTGAGTGAAAGAACTTAGAGTTATCATCCCCTTCTACAAGCCATTTGCATCAAGAGATTTTCTCTTTGATTTGTTCTAACCTTCCAAAATGCTTTTTATTCCATACTTATGTTCTCTCCTTCAACCTCTTTAAATTCCTAGAAAAATTCACAATTTTCTCTCTCCGGGGATCTAACTTCTCCCCACCATTCCTTTAACCTTTCCTTAAAAGAAGGATCTTCCCACCACATATTCTCAAATCTGAAAGGTGAGGAACCTCCACCAAAGGGAGTTCTTTCAATTCAAGTAGGGGGAGATTGAAAGTTTAATCGAATAAAATCAGCTTGCATTAGAGGGAGTTCTTTCAATTCAAGGGAATCAATTAATCCGTTAAATTTTCTCATGGTAGTAGTAATGCCTTGGTTTGGATTGTTTGTTTCCCCCCAAGAATCTAAAAACATTAAAATCACCTCCCAAACACCAAGGGTCCTCCCATAATAATCCTCTAATAGCAGGCAACTCCTCCCAAAATGATGTCTATTGCTGTAAGAATTGGAACCATAAACATTTGCTAAGGCCTGCTCTCTCCCATCTGTAGACCTTTTAATTTTGAAAGAGACTAAGAATTGGCCAATCAACTCCTCCACACAATTCAATTCCTCATTCCTCCAAATTGTAAGAATTCCCCCCAAGGCTCCCAAAGAAGGGTCAAAAGTCCAGCTAAGCCCCCTAACACCCCAAATACTCCAGTGCCATTGCAGTGTCACTTAGTCATCAATTAGTTAGTTGAGGACCAAACCAATTACATCACTAACTACTCAGTTTATATTCATGATATGGTCACCTCTAGCAACTAAGCATCAACTAGGTGGATTAATAAATTAATGACTATGTCAACTAATCAAGCAAAAAGTTTAAAACTTCAGAAGCTTGTGCTCATGCTTATATTTAAAAATAATGTAACATATACTTTTGCTTTTTATATGCATGAAGTTCATTTAAGTACTTGTGGTGGAACATGATTTGCTTATGGTACATAAAATAGAAACAAGGCTTAAAGATGAAAGTGGAAGAGAAGTTCATTTAAGTTTTATTCTAATAGATGGTCTGCTGGTGTGAAGTTGCCACAAACAAGGGGTACGGAAAATATACAAAGGTTGCACTCTTTCTTTGAAAAAACAGACTAATGCCCCGTCCTAGTTTATCCAGCCCAACTTTTTTCTTAATTTTTGCAAAACTAAGACTATATAATGAATCTTTGTTATCATTCTTTCATTGCATATTTGCAGCACAATTAACTTCATTATGGGATAATATCAAATCTAAAATTTAGAAGATACCTTTTCTCCAGTCAACTAGTCAGCACCTAAGCACCAACTAGCCAGTGCATCAACTAGAGAGACAAGAGAGACCAAAGAAGCTAGTCATTGCTTCACCACATTAATTACATTGAATACAATATGCTATCAATTTTCCTATCAAGAAAAAGCTATGTATTTACTTACAAAGTTTTAGATTTCACCGTTTAGAAAAAAAATAATAATAATAAGCACAATTAAAGTGCAAGGAATTCCTAGAGTTTGAAGCACAATTTCAGCCTTAAGCAGAATTTGTCCCAGATAATCTACATGGTATATTCCATTGAATGGTCGAATACTCTACACATGGGACACTTGGCAGTAATCTACATTTTCTGCTTACAGTTCAAATGTATAACTCTTTCGAAATGGTTTTGATTTTTACATTATATCTTCTATTTCTTCTCAACCTCTATTAATTTTTAGGCCATGGCGCAGGCTGCCTGTCAGTTTCAGATAGAAATATGAAGCCCATCACTCAATAAGTGTTTTAAACAGGAAGCAAATTTGCAAATTTTAGATAGAAAACTGAAATTTCCAACAACTTATCAAGCACAATAATAAAATGCATAAGATTCAAATGAAGAAAAGCAAGAAAAATAAAATTCACAACCAAGAACTACCACAAGCTAGGACGATACAGGAATAAAGACCACAAAAATCCTACCTTTTAAAATAGTCAACAAAATGAAGTTATATTAGAAGGAAAAGAAGAAGGTGATTGAAGAAATATTGAAAAAAGGCAGACAAAATTCCACATTAAAGACCAAAAGTAAATAGTATGAAAAAAAAATACCAACAAGTTATTAGAATTCAATTTCAAAGGTATTATTGCCAACTGATAAAAGTCCATATTTCTAATACTTTGATAGAAAGAGCAAATCATTTTACCTAGACTTTCCATCTCCCTCCTCTCCAGCATCCGGCTTCTTGTCAATCTCACTCCTTACTTTGTGAAGCAAGGCATAGTCCAATCCTTTGACCAAATGCGTGTGTTCCACATCACCTGAAGAACATACACTCAGTAAGATAAAGTCACCAAAAAGATACAGGAAATATTATACATAAGGAATTTTTTATATCCTCAAAGGCTAGTTGGAGGTGCCCATTGACCCAACTCCTGTTAACCTTAGAGGCTGAAATATTCATAATCTCATTAAAAAGGCAAACAGTTAATACCATCCACATAATTGAGGTGGGAAGGCTTCAGACTACATGATGTTTTACTTAGATGCAAAGAGAAAAACCATTTAAAGCATGATGAGCATTTTAAGGATATTTGAATCAGTCACATGACTCAAGTTGGCATAACATGATAAAAAATAAGTAATTTAACAAGAACCCAGGTAACAAATGTAAGCCTAAAAGTTTCCCCCAGGCTACTACCTTAACCATCCCTACCAGAGCTGAAACAAGCTCAGAGGTTGCCCCAGGCCATTCTAGATCCTACTAGATAAATGTTCTAAAAAATTGACCAATAACCAAAACAGTGCCTTTAGATTGCAGATCCAAGTCTAACCAGGGTCCAACCATAGTTGGATTGGTCAGTTTCTACCTATTAATCACAACAAAGGATTAGTAATGCTGGCCAAGTGAAGCAATCAAACAAATAAGTTCTTACAAATATAATTCCAGTAGTCCAGTGGTAAAACACCTTAATTTCACACTCAATACCAGAGTTGGAATCTTTCTCATTGCACATGTTCTCAATGTTTTCTTTTTTATTATTATTAGGGGTGGATTTGAGCCGAGCCAAGCCGAATATCCGGCTATTCGAGCTCAGCTCAGTCATAAATTATCAGGCTCAAGCTCGAGCTCAGCTCAAGTCAAAAGCTCAGAAGTTTGAGCTCGGCTTGGCTCGAGCTCGGCCGCCTCTAATTGCAGGTCTCCCTCAGTTGCCAAGGTGCCAAGCCGAGGACTCCCTCGACTGATGAGGTGCTGAGCCGAGGTCTCCCTTAGTTGCCGAGGTGCCGAACTGAGGTCTCCCTCAGTAGCCAAGGTGTCAAGCCGAGGCCCAAGGTGGCACCCTATGTACATATACTTGACTAGGCTCACAAGCCAAGCTGTATTAAGCTCGAGCTCGGCTCGATTAGCAAACAAGCCCATTTGGTAGGCTTGAATTCAGCTTGAAGCTCGGTTTAGACCGAGCCGAGCCAATCTTTTCAAGAGCCGAGCTCGAACAGCTCGTGAACAGCTCGGCTCTTGGCCACCCCTAATTATTATTACACAGAACAGAACCTAACCCCAGTTTTAATTAGAAGCTACTGATAAGTCAGCTTAGTTCTGGAACAGCCATTTATTAACCAACCACTGCTGCTATGGAAAAATGATTGTTCAATTAAAATCAGGCTGAACTTTTGTGGCATCTTAGTTGAACCTAGTCAAACTGCTCTGACAAAATTTTCATACGTGATTATATATGAAGCCCTCAATTATGTAAGTATCTCAAATTTTCATTAGAAGAAGGACAATTTAGCAATTTTTGAATTTTCTGAAATTACATTTTTTTCGATTTTTTTAGGTAATTTAGCAAGTAATACCAGCTTGGTTTAGTTTCCATTTCAATACAAGATTGGTTTAGTATCGATACCATGCAGGAAAACATTTTCCTTTTCGATAATAGAAGGGGAAAGAAGATTTGCGTTTATATCAAATAAAATGGAGAGAATATGTAATAACGGGTCCAAAACTTGTGTGCATGGATTCATTAAATCTTCAGTTATAAGTTTACAAACCTCCAAGATACTTGCTGTTCTCAATGGATATTTTGTGTGCATCAGCTGACCTACAAGAAGCAGTGTAACAAGTAGTTAAGACATTATCTTCAAGGCGGGTGAAGAACTAAAGCAACCATTCCAGCTTTGAATAACAGTACCGTAAATCTACATTTCCAGGAGGCGCTACAGCATGGAAAGACCCTAATTCAGTAGGTTCGTAATCCGGATTTTGGTCCTCTCTCCGTTCCTTTGCTCGGTCTCTATATTTTGGCACTTCTGGTTCCTCCTGCTTCTCTTCCCTGCCACCAATTGAATAAGCAAATCTATGAACATCTCTTCTACTCGGTAAGGGTTTTTTTCTATTGAAAGATTATAAAATTTAACAACCAGAACAAAATCTCTGAACAGGAAAATCTAATTGGAAAAAAAAAAGAAAAAGAAAAATGCTTACTTGCGACGAATCTTCTCTTTGTAATTATTCCTCCTTGCCGAAGTCATTGAAGAGAATTAGGACTACTCCAGCAAATCCCAGATTCAATTCTACAAACAATTAAAAAAAAAAAAAAACTCAAATCCGGAGTCGATTAGAGTCGAGCTCGTCAAGTTCTCGTAATTAGGGTTTTGGCGATGAGCCTGAGAATGGGGGAGTTGGGTCAATGTTTTCACAACCGCAACGGGACGAAGAGCCGAACCATTTAGATTTTAGACCAAGTCCCAGCCATTTCTTAGTTTGGTTCACAAAAGCGATAACTACGGATCGAGTCAGGAATGAGGATCTGCTGCACTGGTTTTCGCTCAACTTTGTCGTGCACGTGCACTTCTACGCCAGTTCAGGCATTCGGAATGGCTGAACAAATGGCTGTTCAGCGGACTGTGGATGACAACGTTTCACTAGGCCTCACTTTCACGTCAATAATAAATTTATGGGCCCCCCCACTGTAAAAGGTGTAGGTCCTTATGTGTTTTATTATTAGAATGGAATATTATGATTAGTTTCTAGCACGCTGAATAACCAACCATCTTGATCTAGAAGAGCAATTATGTTTTTGATTCCTAGGAAATAACCGAGGAGTTTGGCAATTTATTCCTCAAGAATAGATTTATGTTTTGTAGAAAAGGGAACAATGTTGGAATAAACACTTTTGATTCTAAACCTAAAGCATTGTTACAAGTCTTTGATCACACAACATTGATGTCTTCCATTGTCCACACCAAATAATTGCTGACTACTTCAGGACCAAAGCAAAACAAATAAATACCAAAATAAGAACTTAACACGCCATCAAGCACCAACACCCACAAGTACGTATTGGCTAAGAATCGGTCCCTGTTTCATAAATTAGTTGTTGTTGTACCTCAACATGTCTATCACAGTCAGGAATGACGAACCAACCAACCCATATGAAGTCATTTTTTTGTGGATCTATGAAAAGTTCCATTATGGCTATAACCATTAGCCATAATTTCTTTGTATTTTTGCCATAAACAAATGCATCTTTCATGCACAAAATGAACATTCAAGATTCTTGACTTGCATACATCATAAGAATAAAAAATAATTATATTGTTAGACAGTGTATGCCCTTAGGTCCAATCAGAATGATGTACATTATGACATTTATTGTAAATGAATAAAGTACATATTTGATTCATGTTCTTGTGGTGTGTTTCTATGTAATACCCTTAAACTGGACACTTATAAGACTCGTGTTAGTTTATAATGTTCACAGCCGTT